AACCCTCACTTTAGTGCTTCCATCAGTACATCCGGTGGTGAATTGATCATAACCCACTCTGGCCAAAACTGTAAAGCTTAACTTGGAGAACAGTACCAGCAATTCAATTGTTTACTCTGCATTCTTTTCAAAATTGTCAACATGAAGTTAAACCAATCGAAAGTGGTTATAGAGTAAACTTGGTTTACAATTTGGTAAAAAAAAGTACTAGACAATATTCTCCAATCGAAAAATCAGATAAACTTAACTATTTGGTCCAAAAGAAATTGGTTTGTGATGAACTCGATAAGATATTCAAAAATAGGGAAATGGGATCAAAATTAGTTTATGTTCTTGAACATGAATACTCTGATACCAACAGATGTTTTTTAAATTTAAAGGGAAAAGATAAATCAATTGGTTATTTATTTTCAGATATTGCTCAATCAAAAGATCTCGACTATATGGTATTTTTGGCAAGTGTTGATATTTTGCAAATCGAAGAAATTATTGGAGCTGCATGTTATTACGACAGAATGGAATATACCCAAAGAACCTGTGAATTTAGTGGCTTTATTGATGGATGTTATGACAGTCCTGCATCAATTAAACTAAAGGAGTCTTGTAAGAGCTTTGAAGATTTTTTACCATATGGTTCATTAGATACAATCAATGCATACGATAGTTATCAATCCGGGGAATATACAGGTAATCAAGCTGCAAATGAAGAGTCTAAATTTAGAACAAGTGTTTTATTAATTTGCAAAAAGAGTGAACTATCCAAGGTATTCAAAAATTCAACAAGCTGGTTAGTCGATTTTACAAAAAAACAATTTGATTCTTTACAACTTGAAGACACCCAAGAGTCTGCAAATCAAGTCTTAAAATGTATAAAGTGTTTAGATCCAAACATTTTATCAATTCCACAAGATCTTGAAATCAAAATTAAACAAAAAATGCCAAATCAAATGGAATACATCAAACATCAAAAAAATATTCAATTTGATTCAAAAGAATTTATCCAAAATTTAAAAATAGTCTTAGAAACAAATATCTATACCAAAAAAGAAATTGAAAGTAAGGTATTATTATTCAAAAGTAATAAAGCAAATGATTACTTTACAGTCTTAAATGAATTCTTATTACCACTTTCTTTAGAATATCCAAATATTATTACTACTGATCTAATTATCAAATTCAATGAATTATTTAAAGATATGCTTAGAAATGTATTATTTTAAAAATAATTTACCTTATCGAAAAGAAAATATAATTTAAAAATATTAACTTTAAAAATATATAAATAAATCTTTTAATTCTTTTATTATTATAATTTTTTTAGTTATGGATGGTGTTTAAGGGTAATGTGTGGTTGTGTGTTTAAATATTTTTTTATTTAGATTTGTTTAAATATATTTTTTTTTAAATAAATTAAAATTTGAAAATTAAAACTGTTTGATTATAAATTTTAAAAATCAAACTATTTTTTTATTATAAAAATTTTATATTTTAAAACCATTATAAAAAATGGAATTTCTTTCAAACTGGTTAAAATTTGTTGCATTATTTAAAATTATTTCTAGTTTACTCATTTTTAAAGAAGACTTTTATAAAAATCAAATGAACAATGATAAAAAGAAATTAGGTAATTAAAATTGCTATTTTAAATTTATTGTTTTAATTTAATATTAATTTAATAATTTTTTTATTTAAATTAAATAGTGAACCCTCTTTTTTGTAGAATATTACAAATATGGTTTTTTTACACTGGAGTTGTATCATTATTAACAACCTACAGTTTAGATAATAAAGAGTTGGTTTTAAGTTGTTTCATTTCTTATTTGATACCACTTCCATATTTGATAAATGAATTCTTCATTCATAAAACCTATGCCAAGATACATGCATTGCATATACTTCCAATTTGCTTAATATCAATAATTGGGTTATTTAATCATCTTTTGGTAAATTTTTAAAATAATATTTTTAAAAAAATGTAAATACAATTTTTTAAAAATAAAACATTGTATTCACCCTCTTTTATAATAAGAGTTTTATTTTGGAAATGATTTGTAATAAAAATAATAAAATATTAACTAAACTATTTTATTTAAAGTAATTATAATGTACAACAAAAAAATCTAAAATTTAATTTAATTTATGAAATTTTTTAATTAAAAAAAATATTTATTGTTTTAAAAATTACATTATTTCACTTTTATCAATATTAAATTCACATAATTTTTTAATTGAAATAAATAAATCTAATCTTTTTTCTAAATTTTTTTCTTCTTTTAAACATTGAATAATTCTTTTTTTCTTTTCAATATTTCTTAAATTATAAAATATTTTTATATCTGCATAATAACCTCCATTTTTATTACAAGATGATACATGTGAATGATTTGAACCACTATCTGGGGAAACATTGAAACAAAAACCACAAAAATGAGCATTACAACCACCACTACCTGAATCTCCGGTACATTGTACTGCATAACAACCATTAAATTCATAGAAAACCATTTGACAATTTGGACATTTTGTATTTAATTGGTCTTGTAACTTTAATAAACTTGCAAATTCTATATTACATGAAACACCTTTATGACTAAGTGATGGTTTTCCATTTTTATTTGAACATGATATGCAATATTCTACATTACATTGATCACAAAATATAAATGAATTATTTAAATTTGAATGATTAATTATTGGTAATTCTAATAATTGACAACATAATGGATTTGGACAGCAACAAACTTTTTTATTATTTTTTCTTTGATAATCTAAAATTGATTTTCTTTTAATGATCTCTAATTCTTCACTATTTGTTGAAAATATATTTAAAATATCAGATAATGAAATTTCTGAATTACAACCAACTCCTAAACATTTTTGAATAATTTTTCCTGAATTTAACATTTGATATTTTATACATGAACGACAAAATTCATGTCCACAAATTTGAAGAGTGAAAAGTTCATCATCTGAATTATAACAAATTGAACAATCTTTAAATGTATTTGAATCAGCTCTATTTAAAATTAATTTATCTTTGATTTTTGATTTTAAATCTTGAATTGATTTTTCTGTACCTGTAACAAATAAATCCCTTCCAATAATTGTTGCATCTTTTAAATCATTTACTAAATTTAAAATATATTTTGAATCTTTTTTTTCTTGTTCTATTAATTCTAAACGACCTTTTAAACTTAATATAATCTTTATATCAATTTGTAAATTTTCTAATTCTGATACTAAATTATTTAATTGATTAATTGCATTTTCTGTTTCTTGGTCATTTTTACTATAAATCATAATTGTATGAGTTTTATTATTCCAATATAAATAAGTTTCACTTGATAATTTACTCATACACTTTCTACCATAACGTGAAAAAATCAATTCTTTATTTGGGTGTGTAAAAATTGTTGTTGGATTACAAAGTAAATGGAATGAATTAATTGTAGTTTTTAATTGATTAAGATTTTTTGAATTTAATTTATATTCACAACAATAATTATTATTTGATGTTGTTGCAGTATTGGTAATTGTTTTAAAACTATTTCCATATTGTAATTGTTTGAATTGATCTGATAGATTTGATATTTCATCATTATTTAATTTTTTAATTTGGAAATGAATTGATACATTTGAACTATAATAAACGTTAATATTATATTTACTATTATTTAATCTATTATTTGAATTTAATTCTTCCATAAAATTTTGTAAAATTGAAACATCATTGAAATAATATTTGATACCATACATATTTGTTTTTTTATCTGTAAACGTAATACCTGAATTTATATTTATTGAATGTGGAATCATTTGATCCATTTCTAAAATTTCATTATAACTACCTTCATCATTTTGTTGTTTTAATTCTTTTCTATAAAAGTGAATTTTTTTTGGTTGAGGTAATTTATTTAAAAATAGAGTATTTCTAATTTTATCTTCATCTAAATTATTATTTAAAAGAATAAATTTTCCACTATCATTATTTTGAAGATTAAATTCTTTAAATATTGATAATGATTTTAATTTATTTGCTTCTAATGGTTCAAGTTTATTTTCAAATGTCATCTTTCCTTTACCATCAATATTATTGATAGTAATTACAAGTGTACCAACAATTGAGCTTGCTGTTGATGGTAATGAAATACCTGTACTTTGACAATTTAATACATCACCATTGAAAATTATATCACCATTAATTAATTTTTGAATTTGTTTTGCTAAATTTGAATCATAAAACATTACTTTTGCCCAATTTTTTTTATCTTTTGAAACTGGATGAATATAAATTTGACGAATTAAATCATCATTTGGAATATTTTGATTTAAATTATTTTTTTTAATAAGATTTAAAATATAATTTGAAAGTGAAATTGTATTATTTAATTCGATTGGTAAATTTGAAATATTAACTGAAATAAATTGATTTGGATTGGTTAAAAAATCAATAACTTTTAAACCTGAACTAAATACAACTCTATTTTGACCAATATATTGTTCTTCTATTGATTCCCTACTTAATTTATCTCTTATTTTTTTAATCATTTCTTCCATTCTATTTTTAATTATATTTGGTTCAACTTTATATGGATTAAATAAACATGAAAATGACTGATCTTTAAATCTACTACATAATGATTCACAACCTAGTGTGTCTATAACTGAATCTGATTTTGAACCTTGTTTACCTAAAATTTCAACTAATATTGATCTTGAAACATTTTCAATTGTCATTTGTTCAACTTTTGATGTTCTTCTTACTTTTTCAACTTTATCATTTAATTCATTACCATTTGATGTAACATTTGAAATCCAATTTAAATCTTCAATACTTGAAACCATTGATAAATATTGTTTTGATGTTTTTAAAATTGATTGATAAAATATGGTGTCTGGTAAATTATTTAATTCTGATGATTTTAAAACTCTTGAACTTGGATGTAAATTTGCAATAATACTTGATTCATTATTATCAATTATTGGTACAGTTTTATAAACACCTGGTTTAATTTGAACTGCAATATTATTAAATTGAGAATATAAACAAAGTTTTCTAACTTCTTTTGGAGTTGGTACACATTTTTGATCTTTTAATTTCCAAAATTCATATGAATCTTTTAATGAATTAATTAATTCAATTGAATTTGAATATACAATACCCAATGCTTTATTATTTAAAAAGTTATCACTACACCATTTTGAATAACTAATTGATTGATTATTTTCTTTTTGTTTTAATTTAATTAATAACCAATCATTAAAAATTTGATAATATGTATTAATATCAAATAAATTTTCATTTGTTGTAAAAGTTGAATGTTTTTCTGATGATTCTTTTTTTGATTTATCATCACTACCTCTCCATAATATCATTGAACCAACATTCATAATTCCTGTAATAATTGTTGCAACTTCACCAAAACCTAATTTACAACTTTCATAAATCATATTCATTATACCTGGATCAACTTGAAGTTTAACTATCATTTGACCAATATGTTTTGTTAAATTGGATGATATATTTAATGATGATGTATTTTCATTAATAATTATATTTTTATCAATTGCATTAAATATTTTTAAATGTGAAATTGCCATTTCAATTGATTTTGTTGGTGGTGATTCAATCCAATTAAATGATAATGGATTAATATTCATCGAAATTAATGTTGCTACAAGTGTTGATAATGGACGACAAAATATTTCTGCAGTAATACCTTCTTGCATTTCTTCATATTCATTTGATGAATATAATCTATAACATATACCAGGACCAGTTCTTCCAGCTCTACCTTTTCTTTGATCTGCTGAACTCTTTGAAATTCTATGAACTTTTAATGACATAGTATTTCTTTGTGAATCATATATATTACTTTTAGTTAAACCTGAATCAATTACAAATTCTAATCCATCAATTGTAATTGAAGTTTCTGCAACATCCGTTGAAAAGATAACTTTTCTTTTATTTTTTGGTGTTGCTTCAAATACTTTTTTTTGATCCTCTGGTAATTGTTTACCATATAAACAAAGTGATATTGGTTCTTGAGAGCATTCATTTGGTTTAAAATTATTAATATACATTTGATCAAATCTTGCTTTTGCTTTCTCTACTTCTTCTTGACCTGTTAAAAAACAAAGAATATCACCACCTTTAAATTTAAATAATTCAATTGCTTTTGAAACAACACTATTTACAATATTTTGATCTGAATTTGATAAATTTAAATTAAAAAGTTGAACTGGAAATGTTTTACCTGGTATTTCAACTAATGGACAATTATTTAAATAATTTAAAAATAATTTTGTATCTAATGATGCTGATGTAACAATAATTTTTAAATTTTTCCATAATTCTTTATTCATTTTTAATAAACCAATTAATAAATCTGTATTAATATTTCTTTCATGTGCTTCATCAATAATAATTGCACCAATATCATTATTTAACCAATTACTATTTTTATTATTTTGAATAATTTCACCAATTTTTGAAATTAATGTTGATTCAGTACAAAATGAAATTCTTGAATTAATTTGATTTTTAATATTAGAGTTATTAATAATTGTTACCTGTTCATTCAATTCATAATTATTTGGATTTTCAGCTTTAAATTCAATTGAAACTCTTTCTTTTAATGATAATACTGCTAATTTTCTTGGTTGAGTACAAATTATAGTTTTACCTTTAAATTCATCCATATCTGCAATATACTGAGGAATTTGAGTTGATTTACCACTACCTGTATGACCTTTAATAATAATAAAATTATTTTGACTATTCATTAATCTAATTTTATCTTCAATTTCTTTTCTATTTGATAAAGCTGGTAATGAATCTTTAATTCTCCATGTTTCTCTATATATTTTTGATATAATATTTTTCATTTCTTTAATTGATTCTATTGAAATTTCAAATGAATTTAATAGTTGTTGAAATTGATTACAAAGTAATTCATTTTTGAAAATTGAAATTTTAATTTGATTGTTAATAATTTCAATAGAATCTTTTAATTTGTTTAAAACTTCATATGAATTTGAATTTTTAAATTGATAGTCTTTAATTTCTAATTCTTTATTTGCTAATTTTACTTTTACCAAATCTAATTGTTTATTATAAAATTCAACTGATAAATCAAATTCTTTTTTAAGTTTTTCAATATTATTATTATTATTATTATTATTATTATTTGATGTTAGTATTGTTTTATTTTTCTTTACATGACGAAAACTACAATTCTTTTTATTTGGACATTGATCTTGAGGACATTTTGGAACAGAATGTAAAAATGTACAATCATCTTTGAAACACTTTTCATCATTTCTACATTTTCCTGGATGAGACAAATTACAATCTTTTACTGGACAATAACCAATATCTTTGGTATAATATTTACAATATTGATTCATTTTTTTTTATTAATATTCTTATAAAATTTTCTAAGAATATTAATAATTAGTATAAATTTAAAATTAAATTTTAGTTTCTAAAAAAAAACTTACATGTTTTAAAAATATAAATAAAAGAAAAGATAAAGTTATTTTAAAAAAAAAAATAAAAAAAAACTTAAAAAAAAATCCAAACAAAAAAATAAAAAAAATAATAAAATCATCATAAAATTTAATACTTAATATTTCCGAAATACTTAGGTAAAAAAAAAATTTTTAAAAAAAAAAAATTGTGCGACACAATAAATGAGATATTTTGTGTTCGTGTAAGTTATTTTTTACAAAAAATTATAAATCAATAAAATAAAATCTTTATTATATTTTTACAACACCGATTTTTTATTTCAACTTTTATTATTTATTATTTTTTTTTATTATTTATAATACATCTTGTAACACTTGTTTTGATTTATTATTTAGAAAGTAAATTGTATTTGGCAGACCGATTTTTTTTTTTCGATTTTTTTAAATTTTTTTTTTTTTTTTTTTTTAATTTTCTCATAACTCACACAAATTTTTTTTTTTTGTAAATAATAAAATACTATGCAAATAAAATTCATTAATTTTTAATGAAGTATTACCATATCTATCATATAATAAATATAAAAGAATATTAGAATTAAGTTTAATTTCAAAACAATCATTTCAAATCATTCAAAATTTATTAACTCATAAATTTATCATCAAACTTGATCCAAATAATCTAATAAAGTCATTAAAGAAATCAAAAGAAAATAACAACTATGAACTATTTTTAATAAAGTATAAAGAGTTGGAAAGTATCCATTTCGATCATTGCACTTTAATTCAACAAAGATATTGAAAAAGATCAAGAGTAAACTTTTAGAACAATGCAAACAATTAAAAAAAGTTATTTTCAACAGTGCTGATGTTGATACTTTGGATGAGAATCCAACATGTGATAATTTTTATGAATTTAGAGTTTTAGATTTAAATTGGTGCGAAAATTCACCACCATGCTCAGACGATGACGAATTAGAATTGATGTTAGGTGAAGATCAACAACACTGTTTATTTGAATATTCTTTTGAATTTTTATCAAGATATCCAAATGCAAAGAAAATATCAACATCAGCACCTACTTGCGACATGGATATGCATTTACAGTATTTGGATGGTATTTTAATAAATTGTTATAGTACAGTAGAAGCTATTAAATTTGACCACCAAACACCCCACAATTTCGTTAGAAAAGTAATAAATTCAAAATCATCAGCAATCAAATCATTTACTGTTAGATTGGCCGATTGGGATACAAGTAAATTGGATGCAAATTTATTTAGAAAATCAGAAATTTCAAAAAATAATATATTAAAGGTGTTAAAATTAAGACATTGTGTAGATACTAGCGTTTCGGTTGGTAACCAAGAGCCAACCGAATTTTTAGAAACATTAATAGGTAATCAAACTTTAGAAACATTGGGTTTAGAATTATTCAAAGTAAGCAACTCGGAAAAACTATCACCACTCATCCAAGTACCAAATATTAAATCATTAATATGCAATTTCGAATCTTTTGAAGCCTCTCTTTTACATTGATTTGTTTCTGATTAATTTGTAATTCTTTTTCAGCTTCAATTTGATCTAATTTATTAAATAAAACTTAAATAATTTTTGGGACTTCATGAACAAGTCCCAAAGATTATTTAAGATTTATTTAATAAATTAGATCAAATTGATTCTGTTGATTCATTACTTTTTATTATTTAAATATTTTGTTTATTATTATTGGTCTTGTTGGAATGTAGTTTATCTGTTTATTTATTAGTTTTTATTACTAAAAAAAAAAAAAAAAATTATAAATTATGTGAAAAAATTTTTTATTAAAAATTTAATCAAAATATAAAATTTCATTTATTTTTTTTTTTTAATAATTTTTTTTTTAATTTTTTTAATTTTCCTTTTTACAAACCCACAAATAAATTAATATATATTTTTTTTTATATAAATAATAAAATAGTATGGAAACAAATATTAAATTAAATTCATTGGTTTTTAATGAAGTATTACCATATCTATCATATAATAATAATTATAAAAGAATATTAGAATTAAGTTTAATTTCAAAACAATCATTTCAAATCATTCAAAATTTATTAACTCATAAACATATCATCAAAATTGAACCAAATAATCTAATAAACTTAATAAAGAAATCAAGAGAAAATAACAAATATGAACTATTTTTAATAAAGTATAAAGAGTTGGAAATTATCCATTTCAATCATTGCAATCAATATTCAAAAGGGATATTGAAAAAGATCAAGAGTAAACTTTTAGAACAATGTGAACAATTAAAAAAAGTTATTTTCAACAGTGCCAGTGTTCAATATGATACTATGGATGAGAATCCAACTTATGATAATTTTTATGAATTTAGATGTTTAGATTTATTTTGGTATACAGAAGTTCTTCCATACTCAACTGAAACCGAATTAATAGACGATTTATATATATTTTCTTTTGAATTTTTATCAAGATATCCAAATTCAAAGAAAATCTCAATATCAACAAGTAATAGCGATACTCTAATGCATTTAGAGAATTTGGATGGTATTATAAGAAATTGTTATAGTACAGTAGAGGTTATTAAATTTGACTACCACCATACACCCCATAATTTTGTTGGAAAAGTAATAAATTCAAAATCACCAGCAATCAAATCATTCACTGTTAGATTGGGCAATGACGACACAAGTAAATTGGTTGCAAATTTATTTAGAGAATCAGAAATCTCAAAAAATAATACATTAAAGGTGTTAAAATTAAAATATTGTGAGGAAATTTCCACTCCATATCTTAACGAAGAGCCAACCGAATTTTTAGAAACACTTATAGGTAATCAAACTTTAGAAACATTGGGTTTAGAATTATTCGATGTAAGCAACTCGGAAAAACTATCACCACTCATCCAAGTACCAAATATTAAAACATTAATATGCAGTCCCTACTCTTTCGATGCCTTTCTTTTACATTGCAACGAAAATCATAATATTACCACTTTAAAAGTTGGTTGGGATTCTTATCATTGTTACTTTGGACATATAGATTTGGCAACAGCCCTTTTAAATTTCTTAAAAAATAATAATTCATCATTGCATTCTATTATATTTCCTAGAATGCTATATAATTTAAAAGAAATTATCAACAAAGAAAGAAATAATATTAATAACAATATAAAAAATATAACTTTTAAAATTTCAAAGAAATATAAATAAAATAAAATAAAATAAAAATAAAAATATAATCATAACCATTAAATAATGACATTTACAAAACCATTTTTCATATCTATTTTTTATTTATAAATAAAAATAAAAACAGTTGTATCTATAGCATAATTTTATTTATTTTTTTTAAAAAAAAATATTTCAAATAAAAATCTTTTTTTTTTTTTTAAAAATATTGTGCGGATAGTTAAAAATTTGCAGATCAAAAAAAAAAAATTTTTAATATAAAAAAAATAAACATTTCCCCTATAAAAATTTAATTTATTTTTTTTAATTTTTTTTTATTTTTTTTATTTTTCCTTTTTACAAAGCCACAAATTGATTGATATTTTTTTAATATAAATAATTAAATAGTATGGAAATAAATTTAAAATTAAATTCATTAATTTTTAATGAAATATTACCATATCTATCATATAATAATAAATATAAAAGATTATTAGAATTAAGTTTAATTTCAAAACAATCATTTCAAATCATTCAAAATTTGTTAACTCATAAACATATCATCAAAATTAAACCAAATAATCTAATAAAGTCAATTAAGAAATCAAAAGAAAAAAACAAATATGAACTATTTTTAATAAAGTATATAGAGTTGGAAAGTATCCATTTCAAACATTGCAATGAATATTCAAAAAAGATATTGAAAAAGATCAAAAATGAACTTTTAGAACAATGTGAACAATTAAAAAAAGTTATTTTCAACAGTGCCAGTGTTGATGTTGATACTATGGATGAGAATCCAACATGTGATAATTTTTATGAATTTAGAGGTTTAGATTTATATTGGAACAAAGTAGATCGTCCATGGTCAAACGAAACCGAATTAAAAAAAGATTCATTAATATTTTCTTTTGAATTTTTATCAAGATATCCAAATGCAAAGAAAATCTCAATATCAACAAGTAATAGCTATTTTCCAATGCATTTAGAGTATTTGGATGGTATTTTATTAAATTGTTGTAGTACAGTAGAATCTATTAAATTTGACTACCACAATACACCCCATAATTTTGTTGGAAAAGTAATAAATTCAAAATCACCAGCAATCAAATCATTCACCGTTAGATTGGGTAATGACGACACAAGTAAATTGGTTGCAAATTTATTTAGAAAATCAGAAATCTCAAAAAATAATATATTAAAGGTGTTAAAATTAAAATATTGTTCGGAAATTTCCATCCAACATCTTAACCAAGAGCCAACCGAATTTTTAAAAATATTAATAGGTAATCAAACTTTAGAAACATTGGGTTTAGAATTATTCAAAGTAAACAACTCGGAAAAACTATCACCACTCATCCAAGTACCAAATATTACAACATTAATATGCAATTTCGAATCTTTTGAAGCCTTTCTTTTACATTGCAACGAAAATCATAATATTACCACTTTAAAAGTTTGTAAGGATATTTATCGTGACCGTTATGTCGATAATTTCAATAACAATAATATTTTGGTAAATGCACTTTCAAATTTCTTAAAAAATAATAAATCATCATTACATTCAATTATACTTTATAGATTACCAGATAATTTAAAAGAACTTATCAACAAAGAAGGAAATAAAATTAATAACAATATAAAAAATATAACTTTAAAAATTTTAGATTAAATTCAAAATAAATTATTTTATTATTATTATAATATTATTTTGTTCTAAAATGTCTTTCTTTAAGAGATTATTTAGAATATATTGTGACTCTAATTGATTTTGATTATGGATTTGTTATTGGTCTAATTGATTTTGATACTGATATATAATTGTTGATGATCAGCTTGATAGTTTTAGCTTGATTTGTTTCTGATTAATTTGTTATTCTTTTTCAGCTTCAATTTGATCTAAATTATTAAATAAATCTTAAATAATTTTTGGGACTTTTTGGTCATGAAGATTCTGTTCATTCATTACTTTTTATTTATTTAAATAAATAAATATAGTTTTTGTAATAGTTTTTTTAAATTTTTATTTTTATTTTGTTTTATTATTATTGGTCTTGTTGGAATGTAGTTTATCTGTTTCTTTATTAGGTTATGCTGATGTTTTTGCTTTTGGTGTGGCTGCTGCTTTTGGGTTGGTTGTTGGTGAATTTGATTTGGTGAAACTGATAGAAGTAGAGGATCAATAGGCACAAGTTTTCATTCTCTTTTTCCTGGCAATGGTAAATCAGATGATAGTTTATTTAAAGATGACCTTACTTTTTTCTTATTATTAGTTGATGGTGCGGTAGTGGTATTTGTATTATTTGTTGTTGATGATGAAGTGGTTGAATCTTCCCCTGTTCCAGATGAAGTGGTTGTAGATGTTGTATTTGAGTTTGTTGATTGTACAGTATTTATATTTGTTGAATTTTTAGATGGAGAGGCCGAGGTTGTCAATGCTCCATTTGTTTAATACTATTTGAATTACATGATATATATTTTTTAATACCTTGATATAATTTTTTTTGAAGAACCATTAGATTATTATAAAATTTAATATTGTATCTTTTGTTTTTCTTCCACACACAACAAAAAAGTTTTTATTCCCAAAAAAAAAAAAAAAAAAAAAAAATTATTTTTAAAAAATTAAAAAAAAATAAATCAAATTTTATATTTTAAATTTTTTATAAAAATTTTTTCACAAAATTTTATATTAATAATTTTTTTAATAAAAAATTTAATCATAATATAAAATTTGATTTATTAATTTTTTTTTTTTTTAAAAATTTTTTTTTTAATTTTTTTAATTTTCCTTTTTACAAACACACAAATAAATTAATATATTTTTTTTTATATAAATAATAAAATAGTATGGAAACAAATATTAAATTAAATTCATTAATTTTTAATGAAGTATTACTATATCTATCATATAATAATGATTATAAAAGATTATTAGAATTAAGTTTAATTTCAAAACAATCATTTCAAATCATTCAAAATTTATTAACTCATAAATATCTCATCAAACTTGAACCAAATAATCTAATAAACTTAATAAAGAAATCAAAAGAAAATAATAACAAATATGAACTATTTTTAATAAAGTATAAAGAGGTGGAAATTATCCATTTCGATCATTGCAATGATTATTCAAAAAAGTTATTGAAAAAGATCAAGAGTAGACTTTTAGAACAATTCAAAGAATTAAAAAAAGTTATTTTCAACAGTGTTAGTATTCAAGGTGATACTATGGATGAAAATCCAACATGTGATAATTTTTATGAATTTAGATGTTTAAATTTATTATGGTATACAGAAGCTCTTCCGTACTCAACCGAAACCGAATTAATAGAAGATCCATCTATGTTTTCTTTTGAATATATATCAAGATATCCAAATGCAAAGAAAATCTCAATATCAACATGTAATAGCAATCAACTAATACTATTAGAGTGTATGGATGGTATTTTAATAAATTGCTATAGTACATTAGAAACTATTAAATTTGACTTCCACAATACACCCCGTGCTTTTGTTGGAAAAGTAATAAATTCAAAATCACCAGCAATCAAATCATTCACTGTTAGATTGGCCGATGGAGACACAAGTAAATCGGTTGCAAAGATATTTAGAAAATCAGAAATCTCAAAAAATAATACATTAAAGGTGTTAAAATTAAAATATTGTTCGGAACTTTTCATTCCATATCTTAACCAAGAGCCAACCGAATTTTTAAAAACACTAATAGGTAATCAAACTTTAGAAACATTGGGTTTACAATTATTCGATGTAAAAAACTCGGAAAAACTATCACCACTCATCCAAGTACCAAATATTACAAAATTAATATGCAGTCCCTACTCTTTCGATGCCTTTCTTTTACATTGCAACGAAAATCATAATATTACCACTTTAAAAGTTGGTTGTGATACTCATCATGACCCTTATTACAATAGTTACTTTAAAGATAATTGTTTGGCAAATGCACTTTTAAATTTCTTTAAAAATAATAAATCATCATTGAACTCTATTATATTTTTTAGAGTACCAGATAGTTTAAAAGAAATTATCAACAAAGAAAGAAATAATATTAATAACAATATAAAAAATATAACTTTTAAAATTTTAACTTTTCATTCTTCCAAAGAAATTGTAATATAATAAAACTAAAACTTTTTTTTTTTTTTAATTTTATAGTTTTTAAAAAAACTATTTTTTAATTTTTATAAATTATATTATTTTTATTATTATGTTCTAAAATGTCCAAATCAACTGCTTTTAAAAGAGATCATTTAAAATATATTGTGACTCTAATTGATTTTGATTATGGATTTGTTGTTAGAATAATTGATTTTGATACTGATATATAATTGCTGTATAGTTTTCTTGCTTTATTTAATTTGTAATTCTTTTTCAGCTTCAATTTGATTTAAATTATTAAATAAATCTTAAATAATTTCTGGAACTTCTTGGTCTTGAAGATTCTGTTCATTCATTACTTTTTATTATTTAAATAAATAAATATAGTTTTTATAATAGTTTTTTTTTTAAATTTTTATATTTATTTTGTTTTGTTTTATTATTATTGGTCTTGTTGGAATGTAGTTTATCTGTTTCTTTATTAGGTTGTACTGATGTTTTTGCTTTTGGTTCGGTTGTTGGTGAATTTGATTTGGATGAAACTGATAGAAGTAGAGGATCAATAAGCACAAGTTTTCATTCTCTTTTTCCTGGTAATGTTGATGTTATTGGCAAATCAGATGATAGTTGATAAAATGTAATTTTTTATAAAGGTTGAAATCATATGGTCTAATCGATGCAATAAATACCATAATTCCCCATGTATATGATATTTCTTTTTCTTATTATAAGCTGATGGTGTAGAAGTTGTATTTGTATTATTTGTAGTTGGTTGACTCTTTCCCTGTTCCATATGAAGAGGTTGGAGATGTTGTATTTGAGTTTGTTGATTGTACAGTATTTGTATTTGTTGAGTTTTTATTTAACGCAGTATCTTTTGTTTTTTTCTGGCACAATAATACAGATTTTATTAAAAAAAAAAAAAATTTTGTGAAAAAATTTTTTATTAAAATTTTAGTCGAAATATAAAATTTCATTTTTTTTAATTTTCCTTTTACAAAGCCACAAATTAATTAATATATTTTTTAATATAAATAATTAAATAGTATGGAAATAAATTTAAAATTAAATTCATTAGTTTTTAATGAAGTATTACCATATCTATCATATAATAATAAATATAAAAGAATATTAGAATTAAGTTTAATTTCAAAACAATCATTTCAAATCATTCAAAATTTATTAACTCATAAACATATCATCAAAATTGAACCAAATATTCTAATAAACTCAATAAAGAAATCAAAAGAAAATAACAACTATGAACTATTTTTAATAAAGTATAAAGAGTTGGAAAGTATCCATTTCAATCATTGCAATATTTATTCAACAAAGAGACTCAAAAAGATCAAGAGTGAACTTTTAGAACAATGTAAACAATTAAAAAAAGTTATTTTCGACTATGTTAGTGTTGATACTATGGATGGGAATCCAACATGTGATAATTTTTATGAATATAGAGTTTTAATTTTATTTTGGAATATACAACGACCTCCATTTTCGAACGAAACCGAATATCCATTGGACCCAGAATATAGATATTCTTTTGAATTTTTATCAAGATACCCAAATTCAAAGAAAATCTTAATAACAACAGTTGACAATCCAATGCATTTAGAGTATTTGGATGGTATTTTATTAAATTGTTGTAGTACAGTAGAAGCTATTACATTTGACTTAAACAATACACCCCATAATTTTGTTGGAAAAGTAATAAATTCGAAATCGCCGGCAATCAAATCATTCACTGTTAGATTGGCCGATGACACAAGTAAATTTGTTGCAAATTTATTTAGAGAATCAGAAATCTCAAAAAATAATATATTAAAGGTGTTAAAATTAAAATTAAGAAATTGTTTGGATTTTGCCACTTCATATCCCCACCAAGAGCCAACCGAATTTTTAAAAACACTAATAGGTAATCAAACTTTAGAAACATTGGGTTTAGAATTATTCAAAGTAAGCAACTCGGAAAAACTATCACCACTCATCCAAGTACCAAATATTAAATCATTAATATGCAAATTCAACTCTATTGAAGCCTTTCTTTTACATTGCAACGAAAATCCTAATATTACCACTTTAAAAGCTGGTTGGTTTAACCCATATAAAGGTAGTAATGACATTAATGTTTTGGTAAATGCACTTTTAAATTTCTTTAAAAATAATAAATCATCATTGCATTCAATTATACTTCCTAGATTACCAGATAATAATTTAAAAGAACTTATCAACAATATGGAAAGAAATATTAATATTAAAAGATTTTGTTCATCTATTACTTTTTATTATTATAAATAAATATAGTTTTTTATTTATTTTTATTTTAATTTTATTATATTTTTTTAATATTGTTTGTTTTTCTTCCACACATAGTAATATACTTTTTATTACCAAAAAAAAAAATAAAAAATAAAAAAATTATTATTATTATTCGTTTTTTATTTTAATTTTATTTATTTTTTATTTTTTTTTAAAATTTTTTTTTAATTTTTTTAATTTTCCTTTTTACAAAGCCACAAATTAATTGATATTTTTTTAATATAAATAATTAAATAGTATGGAAATAAATTTAAAATTAAATTCATTAGTTTTTAATGAAGTATTACCATATCTATTATATAATAATAATTATAAAAGAATATTAGAATTAAGTTTAATTTCAAAACAATCATTTCAAATCATTCAAAATTTATTAACTCATAAACATATCATCAAAATTAAACCAAATAATCTAATAAACTCAATAAAGAAATCAAGAGAAAATAACAAATATGAACTATTTTTAATAAAGTATAAAGAGTTGGAAAGTATCCATTTCAAACATTGCAATATTTATTCAAAAAAGAAATTCAAAAAGATCAAGAGTGAACTTTTAGAACAATGTGAACAATTAAAAAAAGTTATTTTCAACAATACTAATGTTGATACAATGGCTAGTAATCCAACATATGATAATTTTTATGAATTTAGAGGTTTAGATTTATATTGGAACTCAGAAGATCGTCCATGGTCAAACGAAACCGAATTAAAAAAAGAAACTTTAATAATAGACGATTCATATATATTTTCATTTGAATTTTTATCAAGATATCCAAATTCAAAGAAAATCTCAATATCACTAACTAATTGCGATTCGAGTATGTGTTTAGAGAATTTGGATGGTATTTTAAAAAATTGTTGTAGTACAGTAGAATCTATTAAATTTTACGTATACAATACACCCCATAATTTTGTTGGAAAAGTAATAAATTCAAAATCACCAGCAATCAAATCATTCACTGTTAGATTGGCCAACTATGACACAAGTAAATTGGTTGCAAATTTATTTAGAGAATCAGAAATCTCAAAAAATAATATATTAAAGGTGTTAAAATTAAAATATTGTGAGGAAATTTCCACTCCATATCTTAACCAAGAGCCAACCGAATTTTTAGAAACACTAATAGGTAATCAAACTTTAGAAACATTGGGTTTAGAATTATTCAAAGTAAGCAACTCGGAAAAACTATCACCACTTATCCAAGTACCAAATATTACAACATTAATATGCAATTTCAACTCTTTCGATGCCTTTCTTTTACATTGCAACGAAAATCATAATATTACCACTTTAAAAGCTGGTTGGGATGCTCATCAAGACCCTTTTCTCGATGATAACATTCAAGATTATGATTTGGTAAATGCACTTTCAAATTTCTTTAAAAATAATAAATCATCATTGCATTCAATTATATTTTATAGAACAGCAGATGATTTAAAAGGAAGTATCATAAAAGAAAGAAATAATATTAATAACAATATAAAAAATATAACTTTTAAAATTTTAGATCCATATTCCTCCAAAGAAATTATATTATAATAAAACTAAAAAAAAAAAATTTTAATTTTAAAAACTATTTTTTAATTTTTATAAATTATATTATTATTCTCTTCATTATTAGAATCATTTGCTTTATTATAACTATAGATATTCATCATTGGATTATTATTTTTACTACTTCACCAGAGTATTCTTTGAATTTGCACTTTTAAATTGTTTTACTTTTAAATTGTTTTTTGATACCAGAAATCGAGAATTTGAACAGGTTTTTAACTTAACTTTTGAATTGGTTTTAATAAAAAATAAAAATAAAAAAATAAAGACAAATAAAAAAAGAAACAAATAAATGTAAAAAAAAAAGAAATAATATAAAATTTTTTTTTTTTTTTTAAATTCACTAAATTTATTATCATTTAATGAAAGGAAGTTTATTTGTTTTTGAATTGGGTTTTATAAAAAAAAACATTTAACCTTAGAACAATCCTTTTAAATATTGCTAGGGCATTAACAAAAAATGATGATTTGTACAAGGGTGGTTTTTCATGGGCGGATTGCACTATCTCATAAGATTCCGTGGTTGCGCTATCTCATGAAGATACTGTAGTTTTATTCCTCCCACCTAATATTGTTAACATTAATTGACAACCCATGCAGGAGCAGATTGTTATGTTAAAGGTCATTATAGAGCGACAACACTTTCTAACTCAAAGATGTTAGAGTGACAACACTTTCTAACTCAAAGATGTTATAAAAACTAAGGTGTTATAAAAACTATTATAGTTTAATGAAAGGTTGTTATCCAAATACAATTCAGTATTAAAAGATTAATCCTATAAATAAATTAAAAAAAAGAAAAAAATTAATTTTATTTAATTAGTTTTATTTTACATTTTACTACTTACTACTTACTACAATGGGCCTTTTAGAGAGTCAATTGGCATATATATAATATGATGGCGACTGTTCCAAAGTTTTGATATTAAAATTTTTTATTTTGATGTTAAATAACTAATAATAATAATTTGTTTTTATTGTTTTGATTAAATTTTTTTTAAATTTATACTTTTTTTTTTTCTTGGCCACCAAAAAAAAATACAAAAATATAAATTAAATTATTTTTAAAAAAAAAAATTGTAATTTTTCATATAGATATACCATAGTTTTAATTGAAAATTATAAAGATGCTCGAAAATATATTTTTTTTTTTTTATTTTTTTTATTTTTTTTATTGACATTGCAGGGGCCCCTTTTGCCAGCCAAGTTTGGGCACACTTGACCGGCTTTTACAATAAAAATTATTTTTTTTGAAAATATATAATAAAATTAATTATTAATATATTTTTATTTTATTTTATTTTTTTTATTTATTATTTTATATAATATTTTATAATTCCTGTTTCAAAAAAAATTACACTGATTCATTTTCTGACAATAAAACGATTGGATTATCATAATTACCAACGTCAAATCTCATATTTTCGGTGCCTTGACTCTTTGCAATTTTCGAAAACATTTCCACTTGACTCTCATAAATTATAACACATTTTTTGTGATAATCCAGCTTTTTCTGATATCTGTCTTGTATTTCAGATGGAAGAAGTTTTAGTGAGGGTGGAGATGATGGAGGAAGCTTTGGCGAGGGTGATGGAAGAAGCTTTGACGCATGTTTTATCTCAAAGGAACAAAGGGAAACATTAATAAATAATGATTAAATATTTTAAATAAATAAATAAAATTTATTCAACAAATAAATTAGAAAAATAAAATTAAAAAGTTAACTTATTATAATTAAAAAGTTATAAATTAATAAATAATAAATTAAAAAAAAAAAAATTAAAAAAAAAATTAAAAAAAAAAAAATTTCTGGTCAATAAAAAAAAAAATTTCAAAGTCACCAAATTTTTACACATTAATTTTTTAAAATATTTTGCTATGGCAAATTCTCACATTAATTTTTGGTTATAACAAAATTCCTATAACAAACTTGACCGGCTTTTACAATAAAAATAAATTTTTTTGTTGATGAAAATCTTCTTTATTATTAATATCATTGTCAATTCTTTTTTCACTTCTATATATAGAAATGACAGGTTCAGATGGTTATTTAACAGCTGAAGTTAATGCTGGTGTTTTTGGTACTATTGGCGGTTCAGTTGTTTTCTATTATAGAATCATTTAACTATTTGTTTGATGGAGAATATTTTTCTATCTGATACAGGGATTTCAACTTGGATCAAGTATCTATCCTTATTTATTAATATTTATTGTTTATATTTTTTATTTATATCTCTATACCACTTGATTGTTTACATTTTTTATTTATCTTTTTTTTTTTTTTTTTTTTTTTTTTTTTTTTTTTTTGAATTGGTTTATTTTATTATTTTATTTTTTATTTTATTAAAAAATATTTTTTTATTTTTTTTATTTGTTTTTTATTTTTTTTTTATAGATTGGTTTTATGGATTTTTTTTTAAAGATTCTGTCTGCATGTTTAATTTTTGCCCACACTTGTCTCACCTCATTTATTTTTTATTTTTTTTGAAGAAACCCTTTTTATTTAACGATTATTCTAGCCATTAGAAGTACTATTTTTTATAATACATTGTATCTTTGGTTTTTCTTCCCCCCTACGATATACTCTTTTATTTCCCAGAAAGATTATTTTTTTCATCTCAGAAGAGATTGGATTTTTTTCTTTGGGGGGGTCAGTGTGGGTAGAAAAAAGGTTTGTCTTCTTGATTACTTTATAGTCATCCTTACGCAGGGACTTTGGTAAATTTTTTTTATATCCAAATTTGTATTCAACCAACCAAATAGAATATTTTAAAA